TAATGAAATAATACAGTGGCAAATATATATTAAAAAACGTACCTATGGCCACGGTGGCTCACATCTGTAATCCCAGCACTTTGAGAGGCTGAGGCAGGCAGATGAATTGAGCCCAAAAGTTTGAAAACAGCCTGGACAACCTAGCAAAACCCTGTATCTATGCCCCCTCCCCCCAAAAATACAAAAATTAACTGGGTATGGTGGTGTGTGCCTATAGTCCTAGCTACTTGGAAGACTAAGGTGGGAAGACGGCTTCAGCCCAGGAGGTAGAGGTTGCAGTGAAGCCAAGATCCTAAGACTGCACTCCAGCCTGGGCAGCAGAGCCAGATCCTCTCTCAAAAAACAAAAATGGACCAATATTATACACTTTGGTAATTGCTCTAACTCAGATGTATTAACCAAGATTAGAGTTGGAACATGTAAGAGAAAACCAAAATAAGGGTAGGATAAACAAAATTAATAAAGGTCTATCCCTCAAGTAAAAGAAATTCAGAGGTACCTAGTCCAAGACTGGTATGGCAGCCTCATAATGTCAGTGTCAGTCTTGGGATTTACCTTACTGCTGCACCATCTGTAATGCATAGTATTGCTTCTCAAGGAAGGCCCACAGTCCAATATGGATGGTGGAGCTCCAGCCAATACGTCCACATTCCAGGCAGTCTGAGAAAAGGGGAGGCATAAAGACAAAAAGAGCCAGGGCCAGATATCTGTCCTCCTTTGAGATTTCTCGGAAGTCCCATTCAGCATCTATTTGCACTTTGTTGCCCAGAACTTGGTTGCTTAGACACAAGAAGGTTGGAAATTGGGCACACTGGCACTCTAGATAGTATCAGGAATCTTTTAGTGGGGAAAGAGGAGGGAATGGATGTTGGATTGTCTGTCCATTTGCCATCTCTGCCTCAGCAAGTGTTTACGAAGTACAGTGAGAACACAGGAGGGTTCCTGGGACAGACAGAAAAGAACTCACTGAAACGGGAACATTTGAGCTAAAACAAAAGGAACTAATTCACCTCCTCAGTTCTCAAAGAACATTCCTGGCCACACAAATAGAGTGTGGTAAAGACAGAGAGGTCAGATTGTAGCTTGTAGGGAAACTCTAGGTTGTTTAGACTCTTGGAGGAGGGAGATAGACCATAAAGGGAGATTAGAACCAGATGATGAAGACCTCATAAGCTGGAGAGAGATGTGTGGGTTTCAATTTGCCGATAAGAGGGAGTTGATTAGCAATTTTCAGCATGAGAGTGACGCCATCTGATTTTTCAACTAAAAGATATTTCACCATGTACTCTAGGATATAGCTATCAGTGAGTGATGCAAGGGGAATTCTGTCTCATCCCAAATGGATCACCCCAATAGAGAGTCACTAACAGATGGTAAGAACATCTATTGTGGTGAGAGAAAAAGGAAGGAAGAGCAAGGCAAATAACTGGGACTCCTTTGCAAGGAGAACACACACACACACACACACACACACCAAACAAACCCAGTTTAGACACACTCCAAATCTGCAGAGGTCTTAGAGTAAACATTGGGGCTTGAATAAGCAGAAAAAAGGAAAAAGATTAAGAGATGGATTTTAAAAATTAACAATTTAACGCTGATCTATTCTTTTGTTCTTTCTTTTACAGATCAGTCTTCCACCCCTGTCTGCCCACACACACTTAAATCGTATCTCACCCATAACATAACGGAGAGCCAATTTTTTAATCAAAAGCCATTTTTAGGATCAAAGAGAAACATATAGTGTGTTAGTTACATCTTGTAACATCATATGGTGAGGAGTATTCAACTAAAATTAGACATGATATTCACTGAAATTCTCAAAAAATCAAGTGCCTCCAAATCCAGGCGGGAAGGAAATGGAATCTTTTCCTTGTGGGATATTTTTCTCAAGTACTACCGGAAGTGCTAATGAGAGACAGGCCTCCTTGTCATCCAGTGACAAATGTAATAGGTCACATGAAACCACAGAAAATGAGTCTATTTAAAAATGTCAGATACAACACTAAAGGAAAACTTGGTCTTGTATTTTTTCCTCTTGATCATGGTCTAACAGAGACAACTCAGAAATGATTTCCTCTGAACCTGGTGATACTCATGATTGAAATAGTGTTGCTAATGGTAACAATGTGTAGAATTATTGCACGGAAAGTACTAATAATGTAAATCATATGATCCATAGTTGCAGTTCCCCTATAGATTATTTTTTTCCTAGGCATATTTGATTACTCAGAGATTAGGAACAAATCTCATATTTGTACTAACAGAGAATTGGGGTTTATAAGAACAAAATTAGACATTCACCAAATTTTCGCTTATGGCAGTTTTCCCATAATGACAATGTAATGCAGGGGGCATTAAACAAAAAAACATTCTTTTCAAATAGTTTTGGCATTTGATATATTTTTGCTTAGATCTATCTATGAGATACGTGAAAACAATCAAAACATTACATAAGTACTTGTTAAATCAAAGGCACAAGTCAATCTTTGATTAAAAAAATATAATATTCACTTTGGAATCTTTAACTTCTTAACTATGTTTTCAAGAAAAAGTTAAATTGTTTCCCCGTATTTAGAAAAATTTTAAAAATTATCTTCATATCTCATACTGTTTGTGTATCTGTTAGTTCCTGGAAACTATCTTTCTCTTCTGTAAGAAATACTTAAAAAAAAAATCTTGGTAGAAATTTTTATTTTTAAAAGTTATGTTATTTTAAAAAATTATTTATCTTTGACTTCTTTAGGCATATAATAGGTGACATATTTATGGGGTACATGAGATATTTTGATACAGGCATATAATGTGTAATAATCATATCATGGTAAGTGAGGTCCATCACCATAAGCACTAATCATTTCTGTGTTACAAGCAATCCAAGTATACTCTTTTAGTTATTTTTAAGTGTACAATAAATTATTGTTGACTGTAGACACCCTGTTATGCTATCAAATACTAGATCTTATTTATTCTATTTATATTTTTGTACTCATTTACCACCCTTCTTCTCCCACCCCCTTCCACTACCTACTACCTTTCTCAGACTCTCGTAACCATCCTTTTACTCTCTAACTTTGTGAGTTCAATTGTTTTAATTTTTAGCTCCCACAAATAAGTGAGAACATGCAAAGTTTGTCTTCCTGTGCCTGGCTTATTTCACTTAGTATAATAGCTTCCAGTTCTGTCCATATTGTTGCAAATGACAGGATCTCTTTCTTTGTATGTCTGAATAGTGCTCCATTGTGTATATGGTACCACATTTTCTTTATCCAGTTGTCTCTAGATGGACACTTAGGTTGCTTCCAAATATTGGCTATTGTGAATAATGCAGAAATAAACATGGGAGCGTAGATATCTCTTCAATATACTGATTTCCTTTCTTTGAGGTATATATTTAGCATTGGGATTGCTGGATTATATGGTAGTTCTATTTTTAGTTTTTTGAGGAACCTCCAAACTATTCTCTGTAGTGTTGGCATCAATTTATTTACATTCCCACCAAGACTGCATGAGGGTTTCCTTTTCTCCACATCCTCACCAGCATTGCTATTATTTATCTTTTAGATAAGATTCATTTTAACTGGGTTGAGAAGCTACCTCATTGTAGTTTTTTTTTTTTTTTTTTTTTTTTTTNAGATGGAGTTTCGCTCTTGTTACCCAGGCTGGAGTGCAATGGCGCAATCTCGGCTCACCACAGCCTCTGCCTCCTGGATTCAGGCAATTCTCCTGCCTCAGCCTCCTGAATAGCTGGGATTACAGGCATGCACCACCATGACCAGCGAATTTTTTGTATTTTTAGTAGAGATGGGATTTCACCATGTTGTGGTCTCGATCTCTTGACCTTGTGATCCACCCGCCTTGGCCTCCCAAAGTGCTGGGATTACAGGCATGAGCCGCCGCGCCCGGCTCATTGTAGTTTTTTAAGTAAAACAGTAATAGCTTAGGTAGAAGTAAATCATGGTAGCTTTGATTTGCATTTCTCTAATGATTAATGATGCTGAAACAACACTCATTTTTCTTTTCCTTTTTATTTATACAAATGTATGGGGTATATGTGCAACTTTGCTAAATGCATAGATTGTGTAGTGGTCAAGTCAGCGCTTTTAGGGTATTCATTACCCAAATAACATACCTTACGTCCATAACCGACTCTTCATCATCCTCCCCCTTCTCACCTCCTGATTCTTCCAAGTCTCCATTACCTATCATTCCAGTCTTTACAACCATGTGAACAAATTTTTAGTACCCAATTATGACTGAGAATATGTGATATTTGTCTTTCTATGTCTGGCTTGTTTCACTTATGCTAATGAAACCCAATTTCATCAGTGTTGCTGCTAATGACATAATTTCATTTTTATGATTGCATAGTATTCCATTTTGTATCAATATCACATTTTCTTTATCTATTCATCTGTTAATAATCACTTATGTTGATTCCATATCTTTGCTATTTTGTATGGTGTTTCAAAAAACATATGAGCGCAGGTATCTTTTTGATATACTGACTTCCTTTCCTTTGAGAAGAGAAGCCCACTAGTGAGATTGCTGGGTTGAATGGCAGTTCTATTTTTAATTTTTAGGAAATCTCCATATTACTTTCCATAGAAGCTGCACTAATTTTCATTCCCATGAACAGGGTATAAGCCTTTCTTTTTCTCCGCATCATCAAAATATTTGTTATTTTTAAAGAGACATTTATAAAGATATATTATGTCATTCTGCTTATCGGATTATTTTATTTTATTTTAAGACAGTGTCTCACTCTGTCGCCAGGCTGGAGTGCAGTGGCAGGATCTCAGCTCATTGCAATCTCCACCTCTTGGGTTCAAGCAATTCTCCTGCCTCAGCCTCCCTAGTAGCTGGGACTACAGGCATGCACCACTACACCAAGCTAATTTTTGTATTTTTAGTAGAGATGGGGTTTCACGAGTGTTCGCCAAGATGGTCTCAATCTCTTGACCTTGTGATCTGCCGACCTTGGCCTCCCAAACTGCTGGGATTACAGGCGTGAGCCACCGTGCCTGTCCTATCAGTTATTTTTAACTGTTATGATGACCAATATAATCAGAACTTGAATATTGCAAACAAGAAAAAAAATGTCTTTTTTTATATTAATATATTTCTGGAACTATGTCCCAAAGCTGATAGGCATAGAGCAACGGGATTTCCTCAGAAAAACAGAGCTGTAATAGGGAAACTTTTTGACCAAAATCTTGGCATCAAACGAATCATGACTGTCTGCAAAATGCATCAAAAAAGCAAAGACACAGCTATAAATTCTTATAATAATAAACAGCAAAAATTGTGTTTCGAGTTGCAGAAAATGTACTTATACATTATTGTTCAAAAGATGTTACTATATCGTATTTAGACATACATTAATATACTTTCTAGGTTATATATAATACAATATTTAAAGGTACATACAAAATATATATACCTATATATTTGATATGTCTTATATTAGGAACTTCTGTTAGCTTTTGCTGCAATAAAAAATAATCCCAAAGTCTCAACAATTTACAACAAAGATTTATTTCCTGCTCCCATTACATGTCCTTCCCAGGTTGGCTGTACCTTTACTCCACATCTTCTTCATTCTGGGACACAAGACAAAGGAACACCACAATCTGGGACATGCTGATCTTAACTTGGGAAAGAAAAGAGGAATGGCAGAATTCCATAATGGCAGAATCCCACAATGGACCATCTGTTAACATTCCATTGTCTATGACAAGCCACAAGCCCACGCTTGATGTCAATGGTGCACAAAATACAATGTCTCACTGGGAAGCACAGAAAATTATTAGGAGTAATTTTATTATTTAAGAGACTTCCTGAAAACATATTTATCCAAAGGACAGATCACCCAGTTGTCGCCACAGGAGAATGATCACTCAACTGAATAAATGTGCGTGCTTATCAAATGACTGTTTACTTGCCAGTACATCAGAAAATGGGATATAATCAAAGCAAAGCTCAGAGGAAAATTCACAGCTGAAAGATTTATATTTACAAATAGGACTCAAGTTAGAAAAAAAAAATCCCAAGGAAAGGTGAAGAGAATAATAAAATTTTTAAAAATCAGTATTAAATTTAACAAGAGAAGCTTATAGAATTAATATGTTAATTAAAAAACTGCTTCTACTGAAAATCTTAAAAATATGCAAACATAAATCATTACTTAACAAGTGGGAAAATAGGCAATATCACAAAAGCACAAAAGTTGAAATGGTAATAAAATAACCACAAATATATTAAAAAATTGAAAGATCCAAAAGCAACTACTTTGCTCAACACTAAGCAAATAAATTTCAGTACCTGAATTAAAATGGTGATTTTTAAGAAATCATAAATTGCTGATAGACTCAACATTATTTAAACTTTTCCAAAGCATAGAATATAAAAGAAGAGAAACTTCTAAATCCTTTATATGAAGCTAGTATAATATTGGTAACAAAAATCCTAAAAGAAAGTCACAAATATATCTTACTTTAAAATATCAGTATAAAATCCTATATAAAATATTAGCAAGTAGAATACAGTACCATAATAAAATAATATTTTACAATTTTTATATTTTTAGAGGAACCCCAAAATAAGTACCCTTCATCCCTCTCTGAGTTCGGAAAAAAATACTGAACGATCAGACTAGGAATAAAGCATCTGGAGACCAAAATATCATCTTTATGTCTGATAAAGGTTATATTAGGATCCATGGCTAGTACAAGAGTCAAAAGGGCCTGCAAAGAAAACCCCAGAATTAGACAGACTTACCTAGACAATGTTCTCCTGGGTTGGAGACTTTCCCAGGTTATTCTTAGATCCTGGGGAAACAAAGACCTCCCACTTCCTGTGGGAAGCTAGCTCCAAGAACAAGACAACAGGTGATTTAAGCATAGTTATGCTTCCAAACTTTAGATAGCAGGCAAGTCACTTCATTTTCCCTGGGGCAGGGTGAGGAAGGGATTGAAGCCAAGATCGTTCCACTAATTGAAGTCACTCACCATTAAAAGAAACACTGGAGATCAGGTGCAGTGTTTCACACCTATAATCTCAGCATTTTGGGAGGCTGAGGCAGAAGTTTAAGACCAGCCCAGGTAAACAGCGAGATCCTGTCTCTACAAAAAATGGTCTGGGTGTAGTGATGCATATCTGTAGTCTCAGCTACGTAAGGGGTTGAGGTGGGAGGATCTCTTGAGTCCAGGAGTTAGAGGCTATAGATTATGATTATGCCACTGCACTCTAGCCTGGGTGACAGAGTGGTAACCAGTCTTCAGGATTCAAAAAGAAGCACTGAGAAGGGAAAATATATTCCAGCTTATTAGTTCTGTTTTCATTTGGTTTTTTAAAAACTCACTTTGCTTAACCATTACCTTATGGCCTATATCCCTCAAGAGACAGACTCCTCGGGAGAGTCCTGCTCCTACCCTCCACAGGCTCTACACCAAGAACTGTTCTGTGGGTGTCCTTCAGGAACTGCTAATGGGCAAGGTGGGGATTGCTCCCTGAAGGCTATGAACTGACCCAGAATACATATTTGATAAATCCAAGGCCCTTCTGTGCTCAAGATGGAAATTTTATTCTCCATTCTGTTTTCCATTTTAAATTTTGTCCTTGCTGTGTTGTCTCAAATAGCCCATTAGAGCTCTGCAATGAGATTAAATGACAACATCAAGGTACTCCCATAGTAAAATGGAAACACTTATTCCTGCCCTAGAAGCCTCAGATTGGAACCATGAGGATGCAGTCAGCCAAATCTATTTTCAAGAGATTGAATGTCTACTGGATATTAGGAGATATTAGAGTTATTATTAATTTTGTGAAGTGTGACAGTGGTATTGTTGTTCTACTTTTTAAAGTCCTTATCTGTTTAAGATTCATACTGATGTATTTAAAGTTAAAATAATGATATCTGAAATTTGCTTTTAAATATTCTAGCAAACAAACAAAAACTAGTGATGTGAACATACTGCATATGTAATAAGTACATTACCTTGACATCCCAAGAGCCTACGTCTGCCTGGGAAATTTAGGGCAGTGATATTTGAGGATTAAAATATGTGTTGGAACTTTCTGGGCTAAAAGGGGTAAGGTAATTATGGAAGAGAATAGCATTCCAGACAGCATGGGCTATCTAAGGGTACAGAGGTTTGGAAAAGAATGTTGAAACAGACAAAACAGCTCTGCAGCACAAACTATGTGCAACCCTAGTAAAAACATGTGAGGTAAAAGTGTTATTGGTCTTGATCGTACAGAGTTGGGACCAGTCCAATTTTCTTTACTGGATCATGCTTTTTCAAACTATTTTATGTATTTGTTAAATTAATCTCCTCATCTAGAATGCAATTTTCTCTCCTTTATGCAAATACTATCTTTCCAGGCAGAATTCAGGAATATTCTTCAGTCAAAAGCCCTTCCTAACCATTTATAGTTCGATGGACTCTCCTTCTGACTCTTAAAAGCGTGCTCTACAATATAGTTCTTGATGATGAGCTGGTCGATCGAATAAGCACAATTTTACATGGGTTAATATCTTCTCAATTAGAAGGAGTTTTCTCAAACCAAGCCTACCACAATGCTTAGGATGTTATAGAACTTACCACATAGGGGCACTCTCCAAACAGAAAGAGAGCCATATCCACACGTGGGCTGACGAAAAGTTAATGTATCTATTCAATGACAACAGATACTCTTTGGAGCTGATATATCAACCCCACCATCTTGGGAAGAGAAAGAAACAAAAGGAAGAAGGGAGGGGGGTGGGAGGGAGGGAGGAAGGAAGAAAGGAAGGAAGGGAGGGAGGAAAGAAAGAAGAGAGGGAAGGAGGGAAGGAAGGAAGGGAAGGAGGGAGGGAGACGGGGAAGGAAGAAAGGAAGGAATGAAGGAAGGAAGGAAGGAAGGAAGGGAGGGAGGAAGGAAAGAAGGAAGGGAGGAAGGAGGGAAAGAAGAAAGGGAGGAATGGAAGGAAGGAATGGAAGGAGGGAGGGAGGGAAGGAAGGAAAGAAGGAAGAGAGGAAGGAAAGAAGAAAGGGAGGGAGGGAAGGAAGGAATGGAAGGAGGGAGGGAAGGAAGGAAGGGAAGGAGGGAGGGAGACAGGGAAGGAAGGAAGAAAGGAAGGAATGAAGGAAGGAAGGGAGGGAGGGAGGGAGGAAAGAAGGAAGGGAGGGAGGGAAGGAAGGAATGGAAGGAGGGAGGGAAAGGAGAGAGGGAGGGAGGGAGGGAAGGAGATGGGGAGGGAGATGGGGAGAATGGGAATGGAAAGGGGAGGGGGAGAAGCAGGGGAGGGGGAAAGGCAGGGGAGGGGGAGGAAAGGAAGGAGGGGGAAGGGAGGGGGCGGGAAAGGAATGAATATGATTCCCCCAATTCTCTGAAATGTTACAGAAAAGGGATGACTCCAAAACTTTAATAATATTAGAAATTCACATTTTAAAAAGATTTTAGTTTAACTCTGAATTTAAGGTAAGAATTCTAAAGCAAACCATGAATGAAAATGAAATCTAAGCATGGATTTGAACTCTGTGCTACAATGTGGCTATATTTTGGTGATTATAAACTGACTCTGAAAAGGCAGGCAAACATGAGACCCTTTAAAGGTATATAAATCCAAGAAAGCAGAATTGTAACAGAGAAACCATAATAGTATTTTGGCAACAGCTAGTACTCTGAAGCTTGGGATCTACTAGCTAATGTCATTCATTTGTTTTCAAAACAGAAATGGTCTGAGCCTTCATTTAGTTGATTTGTTAGTTTCTTATGGTTGCTGCAACAAATTATCACAAATTTAGCCCTTAAAACAAAACTAATGTGTTATCTTACAGTTCTGGAGGTCAGAACTTCAAAGTCGGTTTTAATGGGCTAAAATCAGGATGTTGGCGGGCCTGTGTTCTTTCTGGAAGTTCCAGGGAACATTCACTTCCTTGTTTTTTCCAGCAATTGGCTGCCTACATTCCTTGGTCTGTGATCCCTTCCTCCACCTTCCAGCCAGCAGCACAGCACTTGCCAGTCCCTCTCTTTGACTGACAGCTGCCTCCACCATCACATCTCCTTCTTTCCCCCTGCTTCCAACATCACAGTATCATCTCTGATTCTGACCCTCCTGTGTACCTCTTATATGGACCCCACAGATAATCCTGGATAATCTCTCCTTTTCAAGATCCTTAACACATCTTAATCACATCTGCAGAATCTTTTTTGTCACATAATGTAGCATCACAGGTTCTAGGTATTAGGACACGGTCATCTTTGGGGTGCCATTATTCAGTCTACCACAGTTGGATAGGTGAATAGTATGGAAAGGTGTTTTGTCTATAAAATATTTCATTCTTGTTTTACTGGGGAATATAAAGTCTCCATTAAAAAATAAAAAGGAATGATTTGTGAAAAGTCCTGTAACAGTATTATTAACCCACAAAAACTTTGTTGAATAGACAATAAGTTTCTGAGGAATCCAATAAAATGGGAACATACTGTACTCTAAAAGGATATTCATCTGCAGCTAATCCTACAAATCTCTACTTTGTTTTTAATTTATAGGGATAGTTGAGCTACATCTCCCATATTTTTCTTATCCTCACCCTACCCTGTCCTGCCACTAAAAGCTTCTTTATGATCTGGTTTCATTGAGGAGGTCTAATGGGTCTTATCATG